CCACTGCACTCCAGTCTGAGTGACAGAGTGAGACTCCAACTCAAAAAAAAAAAAGAAAATTTGGGGCTGGCAACATACAAATCTTAATTCAAAACTGCCAACTGCTTTTTTAACTCTTCTCATTTTATTTTTTATTGTAAAACAATAGATGGCTCTTTCCTTATACTCACATTTGGGCACGTGTTTTAAGTTTGCCAAAATTTATCTCAATGTCACAAAATGTCTTCAATAGCAAAATCTGATATATTGAATAATTATAATAATTTTAAGTTGACTGAAATATTTACCAAGCATATACTGAAATGGAACTTTCAAAATACACTTTTATGATCCCTTCAAATACATTTCAGGTACTAAGATTAGCAATAGTAATTCAAGTAGTACTTTACTTCAATTTAATATTTTGAAAGAAATTACCACCTGGTCTTCAGAATATTTGAATTTTTAAAAAATAAATCATATTTTGTAGGCATTCTTAATTAATCCAAACACATTACCAATTTCATTTTGCTGTCACCTCTCATAAGTACGTTTCATACCTGTCTACAGAACGGCCTGGCCCCACTCCAAGTTCTGGGCGTGCACTAGGTAAGAGGTAAGATAATCTGTCCATCACTGAGGACGCCACGGGTAAGGCAGCAACATTTTGATTTATTTTCTTGAGTTCATTTACAATGGCACTGGCAATGGACTTCAACACATGATGAGGAAGATGAAATGTAACTGTGGCCCACTGAAAGAAAATGGGAGTATAAGCAAAGAAAAATGTATTCAACAGTTCTAACCAAAATCATAACTTAAACATTACCAAAATAAAGAATGATTTCTCAGTCTCAAGTCAGTTTACTCCATTTGTCTATCATTTAAAGCAGGAACTTGCAGTAATATAAAAAGTGATACCTCTTTTTTACAAGAGCAATATATGGAATCAACCTAAGTGTCTATCAACAGAAGACTGGATAAAAGTGGCATATACGTATACACAATGGAATACTAGACAGCCTTTAAACAGAAATTCTGTTATTCATCACAACATAGATAAACCCAGAGGACACTACACTAAGTGAGACAACCCAGGCACAAAAAGACAAATATGGCATGATCTCACTCATATGTGCAATCTAAAAACGCTGAATTCATAAAGAAGCAGAGAGCAGAATGGTGGTTACCAGAGACTAGGAGGGTGGAAGAGAGATAAGGAAGGGGGGAGATGTTGGTCAAAAAGTACCAAGTTTCAGTGAGGAGAAATTCATGTTAGTGCTCTAATGCACAGCACAGTGACCACAGTTTATAACAGTGTATTGTTCACTTCAAAGTTGCTAAAGATTTTAAACACTGTCACCACAAAAAAATGCTAAGCAGGTGAGGGAGATGTTAATTAGCTTGACTTAATCTTTTTACAACATATACCTATCAAAACATCAATAAATATATATAATTATACACAATTACTTGTCAATTAAGTTTTTAATTTTTAAAAATGAAACCTCAACTAACTATCCTTAAAAAAAAAAGCTTAGAATCAGATGGTAACACTTCTTCTTATACATTTCACCACTAAACCACTAAGTACAACTAAAATCATCTATCATTTTCCATATTCATCCAGCATATACACAACGTAAAGCACAAAGAAGGAACGCAAATATCTCCACCCGTAAGAACGTATCTGGACAATTATCGTCACTGGGAAACCCAAGGATTTAGGCCAGGTTAGCACATCCATGTTTGAGTTGCCGTTGTCACCAAACCCAGCAAGAGTCAGTAAAAACAAAGGCTTCGCGATCACAAGTCTGGATACTGAACCTAGCTTCATCAACAACAATATTCAATAAACGTTACCTATGATTACCTAATATCACAAAAATTACTGAAGAACTTAGAGTATAAAAATGTTAAGTGGTATTCTCCCAGAGGAAAAAAGTCTAAAAAGTACTTATGTCTCTATTTCCTGTCCCCAGTTCACCTACAGATGGTTTCTTCTCTGTCTAGTACACTCTAGGCAGCCTAGCAAGATATTACTTATCTATACAACTGGAAAAACTTGTGGTCAAAAATATGATTTGAATTGCTACAAAAGGAAGATGAAAGCTTCTCACCTGCTTTCTACCCCTAGTCTGTTCATTAATGCAGAACCTCTTTACTGAAAGGGAGGCTGACTTCCCTTGAAAAAGGATCCTACAATTCCCCAACTATATGCCATACCATCACACTGCAAGCCTTCCAGCAAGGGGACCCGTGGGCATTCACTACAGTGATGGTGCACAGGGGAAAAGATGTTTCAGGCATTACAAAAAAGGGACACTGATCTGACCTAAAACACCACTGTGGTCCACCAGTCAAAGTGGGGGCTCAGGGTGGACAAGTGATTATGAGTTTTGGCCCAAAGCAGTCTCAGTGAGCTCTGCAGGTCCACAAACCCATATGGTGGCTATTTCCTCTGAGTGCTTAACTGGAAGAGAAACAGCACAGGCAACTGGAAAAATCCCACTCTCTGTTCCACTCTGAGGACCATTAAGGTAGAAAAGGCCAAGTATAAGCCTCTAGAACTTCAGTTCTCCACAAGGATATCAACCCAAGCAACACTACGTTGCTGAGGAAAGTTCTGCGATGAACACCACTATAAAAGACTTGAAGATACAGCGGTAATCAGAGGACCTCACCCCCACATAACTGGCCTGTCTGGCCTGTGCAGAATATAAACAGACCTTGAAGAGCGACTGTGGATGGTAAACCACCAGGGGCAGCTTCAACCGCAGCTGCCGCTCCAGATGAGCTATCTTTACTGAAGTGAATCAATCAATCCCTTGTTATCTGGTAGGCATCTGCGAGTCTGTCAAATATTTTTCTATACTACTTTTTAAGGACTATCCAAAAAAGTCCACTTTTACCTGGCAGGAACAACAACAAATCTTCACACTCCAACCCTAAAACTCGATCTAACCCTAAAACATAATCCAGTAGCAGAAATCCCGATCATTCTACAGATCAACATAATGGTTCTCTACATCAACAGCATCACACTGACTGGTCCAGGTGAGGAGGAAGTAGCAAGGAAATTGAACACCTTAGTAAGGTACAAGTCAGAAGAGATACAGGAGATAAGAGTCCCGAAAACCGGAGGACCCTGCAATGTCAGTGAAGGTTCTCGCAGTCCCGTAAGGTGAAAGACAAGTCGCTACAACTTGTAGCACCAACCACGAAAAAAAAAGGCACGATGCTTGGTGGGCCTAATTGGGTTTTGGAGCCAATCTGGAACCTGAATGTGCTGCTTGAACCTAAATAACAAGAAATGCCTAAGGCTGAAAATTGTGAGTAAGGTACAGAACAAGAAGCAGCCCTGCAACAGGCCCACATTGCTAGTGCCATTCCCAAGAGGATAGCTACAAATCTAGCCCCAGTCAGAAGGCCAGTGGTGAAGGTCTATCTTCTGAGGAGGCAGAACTCAATCAGTATATCTCACTGTTTCCTTCATCTGGATTAAGAGCTGGCCAAAAGTGAAGATTCTCACTGATTAATGGACAGTTGCTAATTTGTTAGCTGGATGGTCAGGCACTTGGAAAGATCAGGAATGGAAGACTGTCAACAAGGCGGTCAAAGATAGAGGTCTATGGACAGAACGCTCATACAGAGTGTGAAAGTATTTGTGAAATACAGGAACGCTCACAAAAGGCATCCACTTCAGAGGAAATGGACAAGTTTTATGCACGACATACAGCCTCTCACCACAGCCACTCCAGCGCTTGCTCAATGGACACGCAGGCACACCGCCACAGCAGAGAGAGAGGCTACGCACAGGTGCCACTATGTGAACAGCCCTCACCAAGAGTAACCACGCAAGCTGTTGCTGACTGCCTAATCCACCAACAGCAGTTACCAACGCTAGCCCTCCAACAAGACCCCAATTCTGGGGAAAGGCCAGCATCTGGTCGTTGATTATAACAGATCCCTGCAGTCATGCAATGGGCAACTATCTGTCTTCAATGTGGCAGACACGTATTCTGGGTATGCACTTTACCTGCTCTGCCCACACGGCTTCTGCCATATTATACCTGTGGACTAACAGAATGTCTTCTGCACCATCATGGTACTCCAGGGAACATCGCTTCTGACCAAGAAAAGCATTTCAAAGTAAAAAAAAAAAAAAAAAGAAAGAAATTAAATGGTCTTGCTATATCATCCAGAGGGAGCTGGCCTGGTAGGAAAGTACAAGGGCATACTAAAGACTCATTTTTCAAACCCAACTGGGAGACACCCAGAAAGGGCCAAGTTCTGCCTTACAGGCTAAAGCATTTGCTTTGAATCAACAAAATGCACGATACAGTTTCTCCCAGCATGGAGATAATCCCGTCCACAGATTTTAAGTTTTAGGCTCCGCAGATCTTACTTCCCAAGAGGAATGTTCCAGCAGGGGTATAACAGCGCTTCCACTGAAGTGGGTGTTAAGACTGCAGACCCGCCATTTTAGGCTCCTCTTGTCGCGGAAAAAACAGGCAAAGAAGCAGGCTATTCTACCTCATGGCAATGGCTGGAACTGACAAACAAGGGAGAAACCTGGCTGATGATAAATAATGGAGCAAGGAGAACTTGTGGAGAAGCCAGGAGAGTGACTAGGGTGACACTTGGTACTTCCACGTCCAATAGTAAAAACAGGCAAGTCCAAAAACTTAAAAACACATCTCCACTAAGGATTCAGATCCTTCAAGAATGAAGACTTGGGTCACGCCACCACATAAAGAATCCTAACCAGCTGAGATGCTGACTGAGGAGAAAGGGGACAGGGAATAAATCACTGTTAAAGTTACAAATATCAAATATATCCTCTTGACCATTATAAAACTGAGGACAGCAGTAACTATGCAGATTTACTTCACACTTATCACATAAGTGGTAGACGGATGGATGGATGGATATGGATTTAGACAAATACAGACACACAGTTATAGACAGACATACAGACTTGTTACTTTATGTAAGAGTTTCTGGTTGTTCTTAATTTAGTAACCAAGTAGCACAGGTCTGTTACCTAAACAATGGGACAATGACTAAGTTTTAGGAGCATTTATCATCAAATGGAGATGGATAAAATCACCTGCTAAAACTCTGTATCTCTCTGGGGGAAGGGAGAGAGAATCTTCATCTATGAAAAGGAAGCTTGATATGTATTACATTTATAACTTAGACAAAATCTTAAAGAAAAATACAGAAGAAATTAATGAAATATACCCAAAGATTTCATTCAAAGCATACTCTCACATACCAAAAAAAGTAATTTCAAAGAAACCACAAAATATCCCCATTTCCACAGACACACTCCATTCTCATCCAAGCTCACAGCCTGACAAGGAAGTCTCATTCACTAGCCTTTTGACCAATGCAAGCTCATCAGGCACTAAGGAAGATTCACAAAGCTGCTGGGTAAGGTGGTTCACATCTGTAATCCCAGCACTTTGGGAGACGGAGGCAAAAGGACTGCCTGAGCTCAGGAGTTCGAGACCAGCCTGGGCAACAGAGCGAGACCTCGTCTCTACAATAAATCAAAAAATCAGCCAGGGGTGGTGGCACATGCCTGTGGTTCCAGCTACTTGGAGGGCTGAGGCGGAAAGATCGCTAGAAACCGACAGGTCGAAGTGGTGCCTGTGAGTGCACTGCTATACTCCAGCCTGGGCAACAGTGACACTCCGACTCAAAAAAAAAAAAAAGAAACACAATAAGCAAAATATTTCCCACAAACTGAAGTTAAACTTCAATTAAAACTTCTCAACTTTGAGACCACTTAAAACACATTTTGTTTTTTAAAAGAGAGAAAAGTCTAGAATTAGAACATTTCCAAGAGGACAGGAGAAAAGCAAAAGGAGGAAGATGTTCAGTCTACTACAGCCCCGAACAAGGTCACATCTTACCTTAGCAACTTTGTGGTTTGCTGCAGTCTCGTGAGACGTGTTTTTTAGACCATCTTTGAGCTGTGTGATGAACAAATCATAACCCTCCGTACTAGAAATATCTATCTTTTCTAAACATGCTGATAAGAGCTGCTGTGCCTAAATGAAAAAGATGATCACAAAATTACACACAAAAGTTAAATTCAGAACATATTCAGATATTTTAACATGCAATGATTAGGAAAGGCACCGTACTCTAAACTTAACTACTTTTATCTCTTTTTTTTTTTTTACAAACCTAATTAATTAAATAATGATTTAAAGGGCTGTTATAAAATTACATGGGATAAAAAATGTGTTCAGTATAGTACTAATTTTCTTTTTTTTTTTTTTTTTGAGTTGGAGTCTCACTCGGTCGCCCAGACTGGAGTGCAATGGCCACTTCCGGCCACCGCAGCCTCGCCTGCTGGGCTCCGGCGATCCTTCCGCCTCAGACTTCCAAGTAGCCAGAATTACAGGCATGCGCTACCACGCCCGGCTGATTTTTTGATTTATTGTCGAGATGAGGTCTCGCTGCCCAGGTGGGTCTCGAACCCGCGGGCTCAGGCAATCCATTCACCTCAGCCTCCCAAAGGCGCAGGATTACAGGCTGAGCCACCGAACCCGGCATAGTACTAATTTTCAATACACAGTAGTTAATACAAACCAAATTAAGACAGAAAAACAAGCTGCAATCATAAGCAAAAATGAAACAGGTAAAATGTTGAAGATAAATAAATGCAAAGTCCTGTAATGAGGTTTAAATACTCTACACAAAGGTACAAAAGGGAAAACTAAGTCAGCAAGTAATATGAAAAAGCACTTTGTGCTGTTACCCTCATACTCAACATGAATCACCATAATAGAAATATAGAATTAATAGGTCGGGCATAGTGGCTCACGCCTATAATCCCAGCACTTTGGGAGACTGAGGTAGGAGGATTGCTTGAGCCCAGGAGTTCAAGACCAGCCTGAACGACATATCAAAACCTCATTTCTGCAGGAAAAAAATAAATAAACCAGGTGTGGGAGCATGTGCCTGTAGTCCCAGATAGTTTGGAAGCTGAGGCAGAAGGATCACCTGAGCCCAGGGGAGGCTACAGTGAGCCCTGATCATGCCACTGCACTGAGCAACAGAGTAAGACCCCAACTCAGTAGAAAAAATAGAAATATAGGGTTAACATAAGGAAAAGAATAAACCAACACTGATCAAAGCAAACCTACAGCAGTGACAAACTAATGTGATACTGTAAACAATCCTATAATGGCGGCAGACCTACAAACAATATCATGTGAATATTTAAGGTAAAAAGAGAGAAAACCAGCAGCAGACATAATAGCAAGCAAGGTGGAAGAGGGAGTACAAGCCAGCTAAACACCCACCATCTCAGCCAGTGTCACAGGAAAAACACTAACTCGAGAGTTAAAAAATGTACAAATATTTTATTTTAATTCTTTGTTTCTTTGTAAAACCTGGACATACTTTGAGACTGTCTTTCATTGCTGTATATATTACATATCCTTGATCTAAGACATCAGCTGGTCTATATTCCTTTAATTAGAAAAGGAAAAAACATTCAACTTTGTCCAATTGTTTTTCAAATATTCCACTTGTTAACAAGTAGAACCAGTAAATCTCTGTCCAAAGATTTCATACATGCCTCCAGATCCAGACACCCTGAGAAGGAAAAAATGGCTTCTCTGCTTCTGGAACCCAAACTTCCAGCAACATGCTTTTAACATTAACATGTCACAGACTGTTTCATGACACTAAATGTAAAATCTTAGTGGATATTTTGGTATCTTTTTTTGTAAAAATCCTATGCCAAGAGAACAGTGCAAATAAACACATTTAAATGATCTATACTTAAAACTTACACAATGACACTTTTTCATGTCCTAAAAATGAGAAATATACTACACTGACTTTATTAACTGATATCAATCTACCAAGTGCAAAACAATAAACAACTTAGCATGAAGACAAACAACATCGCACATTAAGAAACACAACATTATAATCTTTTATATTCTATTTATGATTCAAAAACAAATAGCTTTTAAAAATGTACTTTCAAATTACATATTATGAACATCAACACACAAAAAAGAATTTAAGTTGAGCTAGACTTAAAAATTAAGTAATGAAAATTTAACACTACAGAAAAAAACACATGGCTAAAATTTTAAAATGCAGTCATTAAGAGACATGATGCACAGCAAAAATTACAAGTTGTTGACTAAAATGTATTCCTCCCTTGCTTTTTATATTTTAAAAAATAAACTGCCTCTTTCCCACTCTCCCTCTCAGCTTGGTGTGGTCAAGTAACTAAATTCTGCCCAATGGGGTGAATATGAAAAGGGTATGCTGAGAGAGAGTGTGTGAAAGGCGGAAAAAGAACAGAACAAACAAGACGGGAAGGGGGGCTGGAAGGAGAAAGGGATATCAGAGTGTCCCTTTGGCCTTTTGCCCCCCCTTTCCCTGTGGGCTGGAAATAATGAGACCTGAGCAGCTGCCTTAAACTCACAAGCTGACCTGGGTGTACAGTGAGATTAGCGATGCTGGCCCTACCCTTAGGCCTGAACTACTACCAGAAAGAAACTATCTCATTTAGGCCAGCGTATTCTGGGGTCTTTGTTACAGCTGTTTAATCTATCCTGATACACAATTCACACCTAAAACAACTTCAACAAGAACCAATTAATTGTTCAGAGGAAACACAAATATTTAAAAAGTTGTGACATATAAGTCAATTCTTTGTGTTTACAGTACATTTATAATGTCCTTAAAGGACAACTAATTTTATTTAGCACCTAATGGGTCTGAAATTACATGAAGGAGACCACACTGATCCTCATTTCAACTTACCTCTGTGACAGGTAATTCAAGCTGAACCACGTCGTCCTGCTTTGAAACTGGAGTTTGCAGAGCAGTGTCTAGCAACAAGATCCCATTAAGGTCCTTCCTACACCCTACTGCATAATCATCCACAAATATAACTTTATCCACAGCAGAAATATACTGACATTTCACCTGTCCACCTGGTTTAGCTGTTAAAAGAACAAAAAGTCAACACTTAAATTTTAAGACCAAATAGTGCATTTAAAGATAAATGTTGGTCAGGCTTGGTGGCTCAGCCGGTAATCCCATGCCTTTGGGAGGCTGAGGTAAGTGGATTGCCTGAGCCCGCAGGTTCGAGACCCGCCTGGGCAATTTGGCGAGACCTCATCTCTACAATAAATGAAAAAATTAGCTGGGCGTGGTAGCGTATGCCTGTAGTTCCAGCTACTTGGAAGGCTGAGGTAGAAGGATCGCCAGAGTCCAGCAGGTCGAGGCTGCAGTGGCCTCAAGCAGCCACTGCACTCCAGTCTGGGTGACAGAGTGAGACTCCAACTCAAAAAATAAATAAATAAATAAATAAATAAAGATAAATGTTTACTTGGCAGCTAAATACAATATGTAATCCTAGACTGAATCTTGGACTGGAAAAAAAACTACTCTAAGAAACATTACTGGAGTAACTGATTAAACTGTAATATGTACTACAAATTAGAAAAAAGTATCAAGGTGAAATCATTAAAATTTGACAACTAAATTGCTATTATACAAGAGAATATCATGTTCTTGGAAATAAACACAGAAATATTACAGAATACTCTCAAATTGAACAAAAGTACTATGTATGTATATACTGGGGAATAATAAGTAAATTTAGTAAAATACTTAAAACTGGTTGAACTGGGTACAAGATATTATGGGGCAGTTCTTTGTACCATATTATTATTCCTTTTTTGTTTGTTTGTTTGAGTCGGAGCCTCACTCTGTCGCCTAGGCTGGAGTGTAGTGGCACACTCACAGCCACCACTGCCTAGAACTGCTGGGCTCAGGTAATCCTTCTGCCTCAGCCTTCCAAAGTAGCTAGAACAACAGGCACACGCCACCACGCCCAGATAATTTTTTGATTTATTGTAGAGACTAGCTCTCACCAAGTTGCCCAGGCTGGTCTCAAACCCGTAGGCTCAAACAATCCTCTCGCCTCAGCCTCCCAAAGTACTGGGATTTCAGGCATGAGCCACCACGCCCAGACAATTGTACCATACTATTCTTGCAATTATTCTGTAAGTTCGAAACCGTCTCAAAATTAAAGTATTCAGAACAAAACTTTTCAAATAAAGTATTCTCTTTATGCCATTTTTTGCAAAACTCAAGAAGCGTAAGTCAACACGAACAGTTACTAGATTCAGCAGCCCCCTCTTACCTGCAGTATCACATTCTGTGGTTTCAGTTCCAGCCAATCAAGGTCCAAAAACAGGTAAATACAGTAAGATATTTTGAGAAGGACCACAGTCACATAACCTTTACTACAGTATATTGGTTTAAGTGTTCTATTTTACTACTGTTAATCTCTTAATATGCCTAATTTGTAACTTAAACTTTATCATAGGTATGTGTGGATAGGACAAAACAACTAGCTAACTCTTGAACACGGGCTTGAACTGCAAATGTCCACTTATATGTGAATTTTTTCCAATAATTATACTAGAAAAACTTTCAGAGATCTGCAACAATTTGAAAAAATTTACAAAATGTGTAGCCTAGAAATAGTAAAAAAAGGTATGTCATGAATGCATAAAATACATGTAGTTACAAATCTATTTTACCATTTATTACCATAAAACAAACACATTATAAAGTTAAAATGTATCAAAATTTACACTTACTGGCCATATATGACACCACTCAGTCAACAGAAACATAAGCAAATGTAAAGATGCAGTATTAAGCCATAACTCCATAAGATTAGCTGTAGTACACTGAGACTATGACAAGTGTTGTGAGTGTCCACTTTGTGACGCTAGTCATCAAGTGTTTGCCTGTGATGCCGGTCACCCCGCATGAGCAGCTCTGAGCAGCTGTCTCTCCAGTGAATTCTCATCACCAAAAAAAGTGGCCACCAGTGGCTCCCTGTATTCTCATTGTATTCGGTAAAGTACCATAAACCCTGAAGAACACCATGGGACCCACACGAAGTGCCCATGGAAGCTGGACTCACTCCCCAAAAGCAAGAGTCGCAACACTGCTAGAAAGACAGGCCTGCTGGGCACGTGCCCATGGGCACAGACCAGTGCATCTACAATATTGGGAAACAGAGCAGTGCTGTGAATGCCTTTCTGCTTCCTTATGACTTTATTAACCCCATTTTCTCTTTTCTAGTTTACTTCATTTTAAGAATATAGTATATAACATACATGCAAAATATCTGTTCCTGTTCATGGATTGGCTTCTATTATTGGTAAGGCTTTGGTCAACAGTAAGCTGCTAGCAGAGTTTTGAAGGAGTCAAAAATTCTCTGTGGGTTTCCCACTGCCCCGAGACCAGCGCCCCTACCCCCTGTCTTGTTCAAGGGTCAACTATTCTGTATGTAGGGTTTGGTGGTGACTTCAGGCATTCACTGAGGGTCCTGGAACTCATACCCCTAAGATAAGGGAAGGACCCCCACAGTGACACCTCAAAGCTTCCTGTGGGCTTTATATTGGAGATAAAACCATAAACGATATCTATATAACCTAAGTCTGAGAACTAGTAAAAGCTCGAGTTCAACCACCACTGAGAAGGCTAGTCAACTACCACTGAGGATCATCAATGTCCCCTGAGTTTCTGCTGAGTCAACATCAGAAAGGTACTTTAATGGAGAGCCATTGCACACACTGACCACAAAATTTCTCAGAATGAGAATTCCCAGAAGTCTTACAAAAGAAAGTAACCAATAGGCAGAAACTTTATATATAATACTCAGAAAGTATTAAAAAGATAGCGGGGCTCGGTGGCTCAGCCTGTAATCCCGCGCCTTTGGGAGGCTGAGGTGAGTGGACTGCCTGAGTCTGCGGGTTCAAGACCCGCCTGGGCAGCGAGACCTCATCTCTACAATAAATCAAAAAATCAGCCGGGTGTGGTAGCACATGCCTGTAATTCCGGCTACTTGGAAGGCTGAGGCGGAAGGATTGCTGGAGCCCAGCAGGTTGAGGCTGCAGTGGCCAGGAGTGGCCACTGCACTCCAGTCTGGGCGACAGAGTGAGACTCCAACTCAAAAAAAAAAAAAAAAAGATAATATATGCTTTTACATTTAAATTTATAGAGATTTATAAGGCAAGTAATGATAAGTGTCTCTTCTATATGTACAGTTTCTGTAAAGAGACTTTAAAGACTGAGTAACTGAAAAATTGTATTGCATTAGAGAAGAAACTTCTCTGTGGGCAAGCAGTCCTGCTGCCAGGATAGTTCGTTCTAAACACCCACCGCAAGTCCACAGAATACTTCTATTACTACCACTGCTACTGCCTAGGGACACAAAGAAAAAATGTGTAAATCAACTGATTCCTACTCATAAGTCGCTAAGACAACTATAAAACATAATCAATGACTTTTAAAATCCCATATTATAGCTCTCTTGAGCTCTAATGGCCAGTCTGGAGGCATTACAAAATTGATTAGCAACTAATTATCTATCTATATAAAACAAAGAGCTGGGAGCTGTGGCTCATGCCTATAATCCCAGCACATTGAGAAGCTGAGGCAAGAGGACTGCCTGAGCCCTGGGGTTCGAGACCGGCCTGGTCAACTCAATGAGACCTCGTCTCTATGGTAAATCAAAAATATAGCTGAGCCGGGCTTGGTGGCTCAGTCTGTAATCCTGCACCTTTGGGAGACTGAGGTGAGTGGATTGCCTGAGCCTGCGGGTTCAAGACCTGCCTGGGCAACTTGGCTAGACCTCATCTCTACAATAAATCAAAAAATCAGCCGGACGTGGTAGTGCACGCCTATAGTTCCAGCTACTCGGAAGGCTGAGGCGGAAGGATCGCCTGAGTCCAGCAGGTTGAGGCTGCAGTAGCCATGAGCATGCCACCTCACTCTAGTCTGGATGACAGTGAGATACCAACTCAAAAAAATTATAATAAAAAAAAAAATAAGAAACTCATGGAGTTTCTATAGATGAACCTGAGGCCTGGAAGTCTAAAATATGTTAGCATAAGTAAAATAATCTCTGAAATACAGTAAAATAATAAATATTTACCAGCACTTCTGATTTCTAGGTAAAACCACAAGAAACAATACAAATTAGAGGAATTCAAGGTAAAATTGTGTAAAAAGTTGTAAACATAGTTTTAAAAATCAGTAACTATAATTTCTTTAAACTACAAATCCTGCTTTTTCATTTTAGTGATATGTAATTATGATGTCTCCAGGAACTCCTACCCTAAAAAAGTAAAGTACAAGGATGGAAAAAAGATAATACCATGCAGGCTGAGCACACTGACTCACACCTGTAGCCCAGTTCTTTGGGAGGCCAAGGTGAGAGGATTGCTTGAGGCCAGGAGCTCGAGACCAGTCTGGGAAACACAGCAAGATCCCATCTTGGTTTTTTTTGTTTTTTTGAGTTGGAGTCTCACTCTGTCGCCCAGACTAAAGTGCAGTGGCTGCTCCCAGCCACCGCAGCCTCAACCTGCTAGGCTCCGGCAATCCTTCCGCCTCAGCCTTCCGAGTAGCTGGAACTACAGGCACGCGCTACCACGCCCAGCTAATTTTTGACTTACTGTAGAGATGAGGTCTCGTCAAGTTGCCCAGGTGGGTCTCGAACCCACCAGCTCAGGCAATTCACTCACCTCAGTCTCCCAAGGTGCGGGATTACAGGCTGAGCCACCAAGCCCAGCTGCAAGATGCCATCTCAATAAATAACAAGAAAGATTAGCTGAGCATGGTGACACACACATTTGGTCCCAACTACTCGGGAGCTGAGGTGGATCACTCGAGTTCAATGTTACAGTGAGCTATAATCATGACACTTCACGCCAGCCTGGGCAATAGAGCAGATGACATTACATGATGATAAAAGGTTCAACAAAAAAGAAGAAAAAATTTTCAACGCGTATGCATCAAACAGAACTACAAAATACAGCAAAAATTAACAGAATTGAAAGGAGAAAGAGACATCCATAATCATAGTTGGAGATGTCAACATTCTTCCCTCAGTAATAGGTAAACACTCTTCTCT